TTTTTTTTTTAACATGGTTTCTTTTATTATTGACTAATCTTACAGGATTTAAATAATAATTGTGATTCTCTTATTTTTGTTGTGTTTAACTTAAATAAAATTGCTAATTAATAACAGTTTGATTTTTTATCTACTCTTTTATTGTGATATGAGTATATGAGTATCTAAACTTCATTAAAAGAGTACAAATTACCTAACTAAATTACTTTATGTAATTTAACGAGGGTACTGTAAATAAATAAATTCTTTAAAATATAAAATAAAACTAATAATTAATATTCTTGACTTTTAATATGTACTATAAGATTATCAACACTGTTTGTAGATTTTATACTAAGATTCAACCTGTAAAATTATAAGTTATGATTATAATCTATAATAATGTTTAGTAGATTAGATCTAATATTTTTATAATATAAACTTTTTTTTTTTTTGTAAATATAAAAAAAGAGACTATGATATATCATAATTTGTTAGATACTACCTATTTCATCTATTATAATATACTATTATAAGCAACAAYGGGTGATAGATTTTATTTATTTTAATTTAATATTCTTTTTGAATATTATACATGTATAATTATATTAAAAATAAAATTGTTTTATAGTTTTCAGTTTTATTCATATTTATAAAACGTTACATTTTTATTTGGTCATAGTCTCTATAGTATTTATTAAGTAGAATTGAATATTGAAACATTTTTACACATTGGTCAATTGACTATTATATATTTTATTAGTGTAACATTTTTTTACGATAATATATTATTGTTTAGAGATAATAGTTYCTATATCATAGAATTTGTTGTGTCAATACTAAATTTAAAGCTTTAAAATGTCGGCTTTAAATAATATGTATTATCCTTGATAAAAATTATGACACATTGTGTATCATTCACATCATTAAAATAATACATGTTCTGATTTGTTTTAACTAGGGTGAATCTCCAGAACGTGATATTTACCGTGATCCAAATGTGGTGCGCAGTGAAGACCCAGTTGATGAGACAGCGGAACTAGTCAAAAGTAATACAACCGCTAAGATGTTATCCTTGTTTAGACAGATGGAAGTTGCCAGACCAGCTGTACCTGAAGGTCTTAAACCACTTAAACGCTTTACTCCTCCACCGCAAGATCTTAAGGACTCGGAGACTGAATCAGAATCTGATGATGATGTGAGTGGTGAAGATGAAAGTGATGAAGATTCTTCAAATAGTGAAAYCAATGGTGATGTTGTGAAATCATCTCTAAAAGTTGAAGATGAATATTTGAAAAATGTAAGATTATATAACATTATACAATTTTTTATATTTAATTAATTGTTTGGAAATGAATGAAAAATACAGTTCCTATATTTTCTTGATAATTATGAATTAGAAATTAAAATTTCTAATTGTTTAATATATAATATAAATAATTAAAATCTACCTATTTCAGTCTCAAAGCGCTGTAATGGCCAAGTCATTGAAAGATAAATTTGAACACTGGGAACCAGATAAGCATTCTATGAATAATGCTGTTACAATGCTTGACTCTGAACAAGAAAGCATTGAATCAACTAAATCTTTGCGTGCTCGTTTTGAATCTCTGAAAGGTGATCGTCCAGCTGATAAGCCAAAACCAAAAGTTAACAGATTCGTGGTAAATARTTATGAAAGTCTAAGTTAAAGTATAGACGCTTTTGATTAATCTCCTTCTTCCGTTTGGCCTGTCTGTTTTTTCTTCTTGTTTTTTTGTTTTTGTAGGCCAATGCTAATATGTCGACAGTCGGACGAAAAAAAGACATTTATTGGGACTTTTTTTACTAACGTCTGACATGATGACATAGACAAATTATTATTCTTAATCAATACATTTTATTAGGTAAATGACACAAAAGTTTCTGGATTATTGGAAGTCCAGTTTATGTGGTAAACGTTTGTTAGCTCAATTTATGTGTAATTCATTAACCTCAAACAAAGAGAAAAAGAGATACTTAACTCTTGTTTTTAAAAATTTTTTGACATTTACCAGTTTGACTATCCTTAATACTACATATACATGTTTGTAATTTCGAGAAGTTTATATGTTGTATGTATGTTTGTCAATTTTATTTGTGTTAGTTGAGGAATCATTGTGACAAGTTTTTGAGATTTCTATAATTAATGTTGATGAAAGTCTTTTAATTCATTTAAATACATTAAATTATTTTGAAGCATTTTTAGAAAAATAAAAACAACATAATATTAACTGTTTACTATAAAGTTCCTTGATTTGAAAACAACTATAAATTAAAATATTTTATCACTTAAAACTCATTTAGTCAATTAATTATTATATTTCTATTAATTACTTTTTTTATATATTTATCTGTAATTATCATTTGAATGAGTAAGAATTGAGTATGAATTGAGAATGTGACATTTGGCTTTTATTAATTWTGTAACAGTTATATATTTTACAAAAGGGTGGATAACCTTTTATTTTTAAATTTGCCCGTATAGTTTTTATTTTTATTTTCAATCAAGGGATTTATATACTTTCAGTTTAATTTTGTTCAAGYTTATGTTGATACATTATTATAACAACGTATCTTTTAATTTGCTACATAAATTATTAAGTATCAATAATTATTGTTGTCTGAAAATGACGTTTTCTGTGATAAAAACTTTTTCTTCTATCAGAAAAACGTTAATTTATATGTATAATGAATTGATGTATATAATGCAATTTATATATTATATACTTTATTGCATAGTACAAAAAGTTAAAAGAAATCAATTTTTAATAAATAATTTAATTTATTATTAATTTATTACCTAAGTATAATTCCATAAAGGGTGTGTGTAAAATGTTAACAGTGTATATATCTGTGCATTTAACTATTTAATTATTTAGTTCAGTGGTTATCACAGAAAGCAAAGTATAACATTTGATTTTTTTTTTTACTAACTAGTATTTAACAATATTATGTTTTTTGTGTTTGTAAAATCAAATTATGTCTATAAAAATAGACAACAACTTAATCGATTTACGTTGCGTGCCCGTTGTGAAAAATCGTGTTTAATTCGTAGTAAACATTTTTAATTTGAAATATATTTACCTACCGTTTGTTGTGATTAAAACATTAATAATAACAATAAAATGCTTACCTATACAATACTACGTCTATATAATTATAGTCATATAATTTAATATCCATTAACATCGAGTCCATAAAACGTGCGAATTTATTAGTAGATTCGTATAGTAACGAGGTGAGTTTGTTTAACCTTTTTTTTTTTAAATTTTAATGTTACTATTATTTTTAATTTATTTTTTTGAGTAATCAAATCTAATTTTCAGCTTTATAACAACGTGTAACGGAGTCGCGGTGAAACATTTATTTATTTTTTATGTACCTAGTATGATTATTTGTATTGAGATTGGCGGTGGTGGGTAAACCGGACGTTCAAAGTACGTGGTATAAGATTTGCAATTTGCATGATAATTGATAATTGGTGAATTCGCTGCGATTCGACGTTTATTATTAATGGAATATCAATTTGGATGAGTTGGCGTAAAAGACAATTTTTGCCGCAATCTGGAACACGACTTTACTAAAAAATAATATTATATAAATAATATGCATTTGTTTACGTTTCGGCGGATAACATAACACAATACCTACTTCGCCATAGTTCATACTATTTTTCATACTAACAGTATATTATCAATATACGTTATAACTTATGATATTTGCTAACCTATAACCGTATGATGGTCGTCATGATATTTTATATTTTCGTCGAGTACCTATATTATTATTATGCGTTTGATGAAAATAAAATCCTTATACGATACCTACGTTCTAAATTATAATAATCGTAATTTAACAAGAAATGTATATATTTATTATTTATTTATTTTGTTCTGTTTTTGTTTTCTTTTGTTACAGTAATAACTGAAGCTCCGTACACCCCATGGACTTCATTAGTGTACATACAAATTTAAATTAAAAAACTTACTTAAAACTACATATATACGTATATTATCTAACATAAATATTATTTGTTTGGATTTCATTTTATACTTTTCTTCTAAAAAAATAATAATGTAGGAACRTAATCAAAAATATTGTATAATCTATTCGAAAGTAAAAGTTACTTACCGAAAAATATTCACGTGATGCTCTTATTCAATTTTATATTTACTTTTACTGTTTTGAAGTGATATTCGAATGCACTTTCAAATTTATATTCGGTATCACGTTTTTATTGTTTAAAATAATAATTTTATTCTAACGTTGGATTGTGAATGTGAATCTATTTAAAGTCTAGTGTGTAAAATTGAATGTTTTTTTTTTTTATAAATCTTTATTTTCAATCATCGTTTTAGTGTTATATAAATTACGTTATCTTCACGTGTCAACGTTTTATAGATTAATGGAACAAAAACGGTAACGATTTTTCCCGTTTTATGTATCAGAACGAACGAAAAAGAAATTTGTGATACCTAAATCACTAATATTGTTGCCGAATGATTGAATTTTAAATTTTAGAAAGAGAACATAATTTATTATTGTCGTTATAAACTTGTGAATTTTTTTTTTTTAGTTTTAAATCCAATACATAATTACATATATATTATGACCATAATTATTATTTTTAAGTATAATACTATATATAATATTATAATACCAATTATGATTGTGATTTGAATTATACACTTATTAATAAAAAAATTATGAATACACGCTGTCATCGTGTTGTGTGTACAATATATATTACATTTTTTTTATTTTATTTTTTTTGTATTTTAAAATGTATTTTATTTTTCTTCTGTGTCGTCGTGGGTGATAATATGGCGGTGGCGTCGTGAGTGGAAGACCGACTACCCGGTGACAAAACCTTTTAGGTACTGCTCCCTATCACTTCACATATCCACACACTCGAGTACATTTCCATATGCCACCGTTACCTCTTAATATACGAGTATTATGTGATAACTTATTGGCCATTTATCTTATCTTATTGTTTCTTTCGGCTTATTATAATTATATATTATTATACGATGCTATATCTTATTTTATAATATTTATATACCTACTTTTACTATGTTATTGGTGCTGTTTGTTGTTATACATCTGTTAGTTGTATATWATMATMWYATMWTAWTTRTGTGCCGTCATAGTATGTGATTAACATTTGTTTTTATGTGTTTGCCGTTTTAGCAAGATCATGATAGCCACGCAACCACACTGTGCGAATCCTGTGAGAAGAAAGTTTATCCCCTGGAAAAGGTCGAGATCGAAGGCAGACCGTTCCACCGGTCGTGCTTTAGGTGCACGCAATGTCAATGCGTCTTGAGGTGGGTGAAATGTTTTTATACCTTAACTTAAAAATATTGTCAGCCATATATTTTAATTTTCTATATTTCAACTTACACAAATTTGTAAGAATTAACTTATCTTAAAACCGTAATAAGAAAAAATCTCAGGGTATTAGCTTTTATTTACGTCTAGAAAGCATATCGATATCGATAGTGCATAAAAAAATTACTTATACAATTAAATATATTTGTAATGGAAATAATATAGCACCAAATAAAAATATTAGAAAAAGTTAAATATAGATTTTGTATTCGTGCAGGTAATATAATAAAACTGTTATTTTTCTTGCTATCTACATCTGTGTTCGACTGTAAACTAGTTTTTAGAGTAGCGGTTCTCAAACTTTTTTCGCGTACCGCGCATTAAGTATATATTATTAATCAGTCTCTAGTTCACTACTACTGTCTACTAATGATTAAAAATAGAAGCATACAAACTTTACGTAATTAAATACATTTATTTTAAATAAAAAGGAAGTTAAATACTTCGATAACTGTATTATTAATTTATTAGTGTTTTTWAAATAATGTAATATGAATTAAATAAAATGTTCGATGAGATCGCTATTATGCTCAGAATCTAATATTTATTTTTTATTTTCCGTTATGTCACCATGTAGTCTTTTGCATACCACAGTTTGAGAACCGCTATTCTAGAATATATAAAAAATTTAAAATTTAACTATAAGTTTTTTACTTGAAAATTATTGTTGTTTTTATTTTTTTGTTTTAATTTTAACTGTATTTATAAATATATAGGATGGACACTTTTACATGGAACAACAAACGTCTTTACTGTTTGCCACATTTCAAGCGGCTGTTCATATCCAAAGGAAATTATGACGAAGGATTTGGTGGTGATCAGCACAAAAAGAAATGGGAAAACGGACACATGCAGCAGACTCTTCAAGTCGCCGCCGACTCGTCAACTGATTAATGTATTATTATACTAGACGAAGGGAGAAAATTGAATTATATTAATCTTAAAAAAAAGTTAACAGTTTAATACCAATACAAAAAAATGTGATCATTAAAAATATTAATTTATATTTATATATTTATATTAAAAATTAAATTTAAACTATTTATACAATATTTATGTACTTAACGCCAGAATTTATTTATTTTATTTATATTGGTAAGCATTACTGAAATAATTATTTTTATTTATTATAATAATATTTTTTATTTGTATAAGCATTGTGGATGACATTATATGAAAATAATAATAAAAAATAATCATTCATTTGTAGATATTTAATATTTTTGGATGTATAATTCGTATAATAGCATGTTCTATTTTGCTATCAGAGAATTTTTTATACTCAAAAACTATGACTATTAAAGTATCAAAAAAGCTTGGAGAGTAGTTTGAAGTTTGAACCCCTTTCGATTTACCTATACTTGRTTCAATCTGCCACAAGTAAAATTTACATCTCATGGATGGGTTTCGATAAAATTAATATCAATAGATTCTTTGATACTTGGAGTGGGTTATTTTTCCGACGCCTATGGGTAGCAAAGGTAGCATAAACATGCACTTTTTGATTATTTAAACGGTTACCTTTGGTTACATTATTTTATTACTTTTATACAATTTGGGAAAAAACTGGAAGACCTTTTTGCCGTATGATTTTTGTATTTAAATCAGTGGTTCTTAACTGGTGTGCCGCTGYTCACTACTGTGTTGTGAGATTGATTAGGTGTGCCGCGAGAAATGTCTGTGCTGCGAATTTCCGGTTCCGTCGACGAAGTGAACACGGRGCCACCGATGCGGCTGGACCACACATACGATAAACTATATGTCTATATATTAAACTTAAACGGAAATCGTATTATATGTCGGTMGATGAGTGTTGAATCGACAAAGCGGRTCGAGCATCGAAATATGAAGGATTCATAAATATTGCCATAATTTTCCAGAATGTGTCTTGCAGCAATACATTTCGGTCGTTTCAACGAAAATATTTCCGAAATAGTGTCAGTATTATAAATTTGTAAACCATAATATTATAATATAATATCCRATATGGCCAATAATTTATTGGCTCTCGTCGTTCATCTCATTTCGATTTGATAATTTGATATCACGTGACGTATTTAAATTCGCCTATAAAAGACTTAGTTTGATCGATAAGTTGGCCAAGAACGTCAGATTGTTACTCTTATTAAGCGGAACTATGTTTGAWCTACTTGGTGCATGATGAAGCRGCTTTCGATTTAGGTGGCCAGGCCATATAGACAATAGATCCATCGAAGATCCATCCGAATTAAGAACTAGGTAAGACGATAATAATCGTGCCTGAATCAGATGGGACATATACGCGGTGAAAAAGAAAATAATGAAAAATAAATATTTGGTAGACCAAAGATAAACGTTTTTTTTTTTTTTTTTTTGATCAAAAAGCTAGAAAAAAACAATAACCTCGCAGCACAAAAAATGTAGACCGTAAAGAATTAAAACTTAATATAAAAAAAAATAGAAATACATTATCATTTGTACAATAAAGATATAGTAAATTTTATTGATTTCGAAGAACATTTCAAATTACAATTTTAGGCTACAACTAACCAAATGGGAAACTGGCGATGACGCTATAATGTTCCATTTTAATTTCGAAAACGAATGCTCGTAAAATTTAACATTTAATTATATAGTTATAGTTGAATTGAACAATAGTTGTTATACAAATAATTTATAAATCAATACAAAAATTACTATCTTAAAAATAAATATAATTAATTTTGAATTTAAAAATATTATTAAGTGTCGGAAAATTGATTAGGTATTATTATCAAGATTAGGTTTTTTTAACCTATGGAGGTTAAAAAATGTACAAACGTGTACCATGTTATCTATCATGTAATTAGGTATGTACAGGTAAATTGTTATGTTAATATAAATTCTCACGAACGAACAATATTATTATTACTTAGGTATCTAAGTACTTTATATTTTATTATTTAGCCGAGATTTGTAGTTTTCAACTTCAACGTTGAATTTTMGTGAACAATATGCGTATATCTTGTCTTCGTGTTTAAATTAGTTAAATTGACTATAATTTCTTTAATAATCTATAGATAAGATAAAATTTAATAATAGTAAATTTAGATAGGTATCAAGATAATAAAAACAMTGCTTTGTTTACGTATGCATTATGCTTATATTTTTTGTAATATTAGTTTTTCACTTCAACTTTAAGTACCTATAATAAGTGACAGCATTGATTAATCATTAATTTAATTAATACAATATTATATCTGAGTTTTCATGATGCAGGCAAACCTTATGACATCAAAGACATCATCGAGGATTTCAGCGCAATATTTGTTTTCGCTCTCAGACTAACACTAGATCTTTCATCCATAATCGATTTTAATAATTTTTGAGTAACCTTAGAGTAAAATCACCCACAAAAATTATAGAGAAGAACATTTTTGAGGGTATGAGTGGTATTACATAGGTATAAGTCCTGTATATAACCTACAGGTTTTATATTTTATTGTTATTTGACTTTGT